TGGCACTCCACCACTGTCCTGAAATCATTAGTCTGTATTGTTTTAGAAAAACTGTCACATGACAATAAACAAAAATGTATCAGTACTCGTACTTGTAAGTACTCGGCAAGTACCAGTACTCGTACTCACAAAACTGGTATCTGTGCATCCCTTTATTTATATTTATAAAAACAAAATCATACATTAAAACAGAGATGTACAAATCCCAGGATCTCTGTGTGCTCCTTACAAATGACAAATGCCTCCTAATTTTTTTTAATTTTCTCTAGTCTAGTCTTGGAGCTCAAAAGTATCGGTACATGTACTCGTACTTGTACCGAGTACTGTACTTGGTATCTGTGCAACCCTACTTAAGATCTGTTTCACTGAGTATACACACATGTTTGAGGTGCAGAGCCCGCACCCCTGTATTATTCCTTATCCAACCAAGTTTACAGGTGACCCACTGACATAAGACTGCCAAGGGTATTTGCTAAGGTTTGTGATACTCCACAGACATCCTGCTGATGACATGATCCAGACAATTTGGGCGGGATTCAGTGATATCCATTCAAGTGTCTATAAGAATGGTTATTATAGCATTACACATTCTGTAAAGTAAAACTCAGCAACCTAAGGAAGAACTACACCCCGACTTTGCTTTATTCTTCTTTTACGCCAAAAATTCTATTTTTTTTCAGTTATTTATAAAATAATCATTTACACAGATTTACAATTGGAGGAACATTGAATTGATAGGTTTGGCACATAAGATTTGACATCTTAGGACTGAATGAATGCAATTGTTTACAGCCATCCAGCTAAGGACAAGTTGCATATCTTTCATTGAAAAAAAAACAATAAAATACAAACACACACATAAATTACAGTTTTACAAGCCCATATGTCAGAAGTATTGTACCTTAAATTTAATTAGACTAAGTAGAAAAAGGAAAAATAATGTGAGGTAAATCTGAATAATGGGCGATGTTAAGGAAAAAATTGCAGTATAATTGAACAATAAATCACAATGTTTGAAACTTTTGAAGACTAATAAAGAAAGAATGCATACCTCTAACCTCCATAAACACAGACATCTGGTGATGTATCTCTTACTGAAACTTCTCACCTTTTTCTAAGACACAGACATCAGCTCACTGAACACCCCCTTGGTACTTTAATACTAATATTGGGAACCAAAGATCTCTTTACAGAATATACAGCATCCCATCTCTACATGTGAAACATAACATCACTACATAGGACATACACATTTTCAGGAACAGAAGCAAATACAGATTTCAAAGTTTAAAAATACAATAAATGTCCACAGTTCAGCTCCTTTACAAAAATGTGAGCAAGAAAAGTGAAATAGTTATCACAACAATCAAATTGTGAATGGCATTTTTCTTGTGCAGGTTACAAAATGAAAGTAACCTTTGATTGGTTACTAATGGGATGTCATTTTGTTTGGCTCATATTTTCGTGATTAGGACTAAGGGCTGGTGCCAATGGCCTTTGGACCTGTGTTGATTACATCAGTTTGGCATCAGTTTCCAATGCTTCTGAAATCATTCAGAATTCACTGATAGGTGCATTTTACATGCAGCTGACCTCCTTCTGACCTGCTTTAAGTGAGTTTTGTATTCCAAAGGACTTGTATGGGAATGCAAAACCCAATTGAAGCAAACGAAAAGCCCACTTACGCAGACTCTAAGAATGTTTTTGTGAGGCGTGTTTTACCTACATAAGGCATGATTGACATTTTTTTAAACTGATATGCCTTTCATTATGATGGTCTTAAGTGATATCATTCACAAAGCTAACACACCAGGATACATATACTTATTTTTTTTTTAAACTGTTATTTTCAGTTGCGTCCAATGCCTTAGGCTGGTGTTAAAGCTTTGTGAATTGAACCTCTTGGGTGGTATTTCTTACAATATTAATTTCTGAGAAAAATGGATTTCGATGGGAGGGCAGCATTTGTCTCTGGTAACACATAACCTCCACAGGATACAAATTAAATACACATCATTGGTTTTCTACAGGATTGCAATGAGATAATTGTGGCATGCATAATAACACAAAGGACAACATAAAAACACAAAGATACAGAGAGGCAGACAAGAGACAGGCAACATACAAGCAGGAAAAGCACAAGCTGAAAACACAGAGTACAAAAGGAAAAGCATAAAACAAACAAATGTGTATAGATGTCTACAAATTATCTGGTATTTACACACCAAACCGATTGCATCATCTATGCACTGGGTACATTGAGCAAGGACACACAGGAAACAGTTAACAGGGACATGACACACAGCATATCACATTAACCATAAAGGACAAAACATACTACAGCCTACACACACACACACACACACACACACACACACAAGACTGTTATTTTAAGCAGACGCAGACAGTATGCTGACTTCTTTAGCACTAACAGGAGATACAACGCAGAAACATGAAGGACATGCATAACATTACTAAGTCTTATTTAATAAAACAGAGCAAAGGGAAGTAATACACTGCATGCCATAGCAAGCAACCAGATGATAGCTTTTACAAGTTGAACTATACACTACTGATAAATACAGATATCTAATTGGTTGCTAAGTTTCTGCTCACTATTGCTCATTGCTCTATGTTATCAAATATAGACCTATAGGCCAGTACAAGAATGAACAAATATAGTAACAAAAACATGTAGAACATACTTTACATACAGGACATATATTTCAAGATAGAGATGCCAGGAACACATATCAGCCAGGAAAAGGTAATACATAACTGTTACATTGACACATCCATATCACATTACATGGAGACAGGATAAACACAAACCTCGAAAACAATGCAGGATTTGTAGGTTTGAGGTTATACAAACATAAAAGGTCCAAACGTAACACAAAACATGAAAGTAACAACCAGAGACATAGGACATATAACAAAAAAAGCATACAGGTAAAACATGCATGTTGTTACCGTGGCACTGATGAAGCATTAACTATCTTTGGACAGTTTTATATCTTAATAGCTTGGGATTAACCTCTCCCTTGTTTGGAACAAATTGGGCCGAATATGTTAAAGTACAAAGTAAGTGACGTGTGGTTAATTAAAGTGTTCACTCCAACCATCCAATCAAATGTATGGGATTTAGAAAAAAAAAATAGAGACTATATGATTGGATGCTTGAAGTAAAAAAACAGATGCACTTTACTACAGCATACTTTAACTCAATTCATAAATCAGGCTATTGATTTCAATGTACAGGAAATGAGACATTTGACAGGGTACCAAGCTATTAAAAAGTTCCTGTGTAGCTAAGGACAAAGGTGCACATACAAACAAGAAGCACAGGCAACATCAGACCGCATGACATAAAAGACAGATAGAGATCACACATGACACTAGCTAGATAGAAGACAATAGTGACATACAGCAATCTTTTTAGGTGTATATTTTCTAATTCACAGTTCAGCATATATACAAAGCATCTTCTGCTAAAGACATAGTGCATGAAAGAGGAAAGGATTGCAATTCATATCCACCAATTAGACAAGTATTGGTTCCATTTATAAACCTGCACTAGAAAAATGTAAATTCCTGATTACTTGTAGTGGGACTAAAACTCTTTGTAAAGCATGTAAAATGGATCAGTTTTCAAAAGCTCTCATGTTGTTCTAAATTCTAATGACACTGAGTATCTTATTTGATAATATAGTACAATTCAGGGATGTGTGGTCAGGGGAGGCAGGGGGGGCAGAGCCTCACCTAGTATTATGGAGGAAAAAGCTGTCAGCTTCAAGTCTGAAGCTGAAAGCTTTTTCTCCATTCAGACTGGCTTCTAACAGGTTACACAACAGGCAAAGCCTCCCCACTGTGTAACCTGCCATAGACAGAGCGCTGCCTGTTAATCACAGGCGGCGCTGCATCCGGCTTTTGACAGCTATGTTAGGTTGCACAGAAGCGGTCTTCCCCACTGCTTGTGTAACCTAACATAGTGAGGCAAGAGCTGCAACAGCCTCTACTTTGTGTTAGAGGCTTGAGCTCTGTGGATGGTTTGGACCAATGGCAAAGTATCATTGGTCTAAGCTGTCCAATCAAAAAAAGAAAAAAAAAACCATTGAAGACATCAATCTCAATGCCTCAGCAGTGACGAGCAAGTGAGGGACAGGGAGGCTTCTCCCTGTCTCCTCCCTTCTCCCTCCCTCCTCCACACATAGCTTGGTGACCGGGTTGGGGGACAAGGGCAGGACAGGCTGGGGTCATGCCTCACCCAGCACAGAACGTACTGCACGTCACTGGTACAAATAGCATTGGTGCATAATAGCTTTTAACAACTAAGCAGAAAATTGACTTCAATAGTATTTTGTAGCCACAAGTTGAATTTTCTCTGGTTGCTGTGGGATACTGCAAATTGCTCTTTATACTGGTTAAATAAAAGATTATTAGATTGTTTCTGATGTCATCTTCCCTAAGGATCTTATGTCCCTTATAATGAGTCTTACGCCATAAACTTTAGTCAAAGCTTTTTACAGCAATTACAGGCAGGATGTATCCTATGTGTGTTAATATTATCAGTGACTGTTACAGAGGTCATCACTGACAACTGTATTATAGTAATCAATGTTATCCAGATGTCAAGATGTGCTACAAAGTATCTGGAACCATAAGGCATCATGGGACAGATCTTTATTACTGTATGCAAGGTAAAACCTGCATTTACAAAAAGCAAGAGTGATCCACCAGTCAACATTTCAGCGCTGTGGCGAGGTCAGGCAGAATCAAATAACACATAATTAAAAATTTTCCTGACACCTATATGTCTAGTCTTCTGTGACAGGTCCAGGGCTTTATGTAGATATTATGACAATCTATAATATGATTGTGTAGAGTATTGCTTCACAAGTCAGACATGGGCCCTGACTCTTGGACAATACATACTTCCAGGGCAACAAAGGAATCAGGTGATTTTGCCGAAATTAGGCAAAAGAGAAAGGATGGTGATGAGGTCAGTGTTTAGGAGGAGAGTGGTTGATTGCACACTGCCGACAATTTATGATGGCTTTTCTGAGTGTAAGAAAATTTCTCTCTTGTTCCTCCATTGGCCGTGCCAAAGTTGATGGTTATATAAGTCCCAATATCTTCCTTTCTACCAGAAGGACCACTAGATGGTGTACTTGGGGTGTGGGTCCTTATAGCAAGGAATAGGTTCATTTTGATGTTATTTTGCATTATTCAGTCTGTCTTTATGTCCTAGAAGTACTTGATAGGGTCAGTGGGATTTTTAACCTTTGACGGTACCGGGTTCAGTCAGAGAGGCTGGAGCATATGCAGATGCTGCCAAACATGCTGCTGCCTCACAAAATCCTGGGAGACCTGCTGGACCAGGCAAACCAGGTCTGCCACCCTCTCCTGCAGATCCCTCTGGACCTCTTTCTCCGTCTTTTCCATCAATGGCGTGGCCAGGAATGCCAGGTAGACCTGATGACAAGACACTTTTATCAGTTGACATTACAGATAATGATGTGGCTTTATTCATTGCTTTTTATTTTACAATTTATTTGTAAATGAGTATAACATCTGACTCGTGGGGTCAGGCTAAAAAACTTGTAAAAATTTTAATTATACTAACAGGCTCTGTAATTCCTCTAAAAGTCAAATCATACAAGCTATTTCCAGGGAAAATGCTCCAACTATCCAACGTGTTTGTAGGAGTCTTTTGGCAACAATCTTTTAATGTCTTGAGTATAACCCAGTGATTTTATTAAACTCACCTGGAATGCCAGGGGGTCCAGGCATACCCTGGTGACCACGTCCTGTCTCGCCACGGTCTCCCTTTTCTCCTCTTTTTCCTGTGCATAAGAGAGAATTGCACTGTGTGTAATGATTACATTTTGTAAAGTGACTAATTTTCGGTATATATAGAAGCATATGCTAGAGATGTTCATTCTTTAATGCCATTCCTATAAACCATAAAGTTGAACTCCAGACATATGAAAAACACACATTAGTGCAGCTCTGTGTTGAGTAATACATTATTAAATGTATTTTTATGAATGCAAGCCGTGTAAGTACTTGTACTTTGACTTAGAATCGGCCTCTTGCAGTTCCTATAGAGCAGAACTCTAACTGAAAGAGGGAGAAGGAGCACAGGGAGTATGCTAATAAGAGGAGAAAGCAGAGTGATAGAGAGATGAGCTATCAGTGAGCTTCTACTCTTTTGACTGTCGCAGGCTGGGGGAGATACGAGACCTGTAAGTGTTCCTTAACCGTAACAGAGAATAATCTGGTCTTTTTGCCCTGACAGACAGGACTGTGCTGAATGGCAGGGCTGTGTAAATCTCAGGACTGGATACAGATCCAGAATCCATCAATCAAATACAGATCCTTTGGCAGTTAAAACAGCTCCCTTACAATTATTTAATCTGTGTATTTAGTAGTTTGCCTAGAGTTCAGGGTTAAATTAAGAGCGTGTATATATACAAGATATATATATACAAGATATAAGAGAGAACTGCTGATATGCACATCTAAAAAAGGCGCAGGAGGGGATCTATCAAAACTGGAGCAGACAAACATCTGGAGCAGTTGTGCATGGCAACCAATCAGCTCTGATCTTTAATTTTCAAAGCTTAACTGAATAAACTGAAGAGAGAAGCTGGTTGCTATTGGCAACTGCTCCAGATTTTGTCTGCTCCAGTCTTGATAAATTCCCCCACAGTGTTTTCATGTGGGGTGGTGCCATCACTCACTCACTACTACTCTCTAAACTGTCATGTCTTGGTGCCATCCCGGGCTCTCCCGGCCACAGCATGCTGCACCTTCGCTCGCACAAAGATGAAAGCTCTCCCTTTCACTTGCTAATTTTACACCATTATTTCGATTTTACCATCCTGCACAGCCCAAAATACGATGCACAGCCAATGGCATGATGTGTCTCTTTAAAATTAAGCCAATCAAACTTCCCCCATTCCCAGAGTGGGGTGGGAACATAAACGTGACATGTGGAGAAACAAGCGACCATATTGCGACTCGATCTCATCCATTTTGGCTTAACTATAAGTGTCTTCAAAATGTATATTTATCATACTGTTGACTGTAGGTGATGAGCTGAAACTGTTTCTCTCAGTAACAAATCTCAAAAAGATGTCTAAAGGTGTAGCTGAGTACAAGGCCAACAGATTCGTCTGTGTACATTTTATATTCCCTGGTTCACTAACCTTTAGGTCCTGTGTTGCCAATTTGACCCATCACTCCCACAATTCCAGGGATGCCACGTGGTCCATGGTGTCCATGTGGCCCTTGCTCTCCAGGTGATCCTGGTGGTCCCGGAGGTCCAGGTGGTCCCATGGTGCCAGCACCTCCTAGGGCAGCTCTCTTAGCACTAACGGCCACCTCTGCTAGTTGCTCTTTTGTAGCGATTAGCAGCAAAATGTAGAAGGTATACAAGTAATTAAAAGGAAATATGACAGTAAACCAAAACAACCAAAATAGACCAGTGATGCATTCTACTTAAAATATGAAGTGAGTAAACATTGTGAAAACATGAAAAACACTAATACTTCTAATACTCTCTCATACAGCAAAGTACTCCTCACTCCTGCTATAGTTATTTGGATGCACAGCTGACACTTATTGGTATCTGAAATATGAAATTCTGACATGCCTTGCGAAAAGACTTAGACCCCATGCACACAGGAATTAAAATTTAAATTTGGAGCTAATTTTTAATGCACCTGAAAGCGTGTAATACTTTGCTATGGCTGAAAGCACACTCTGGCTATCAGCAATGTCTAGGTGCATTCAGTCTAGCGGCATTTACACAAATAAGAATTGTCTGCGTCCTGGAATCATTTAGCCTGGTTTTACATGGGTAAACCCCAAAATGCGGCTAAACCCAAAAATATCTTAACATGGGAAAAAGTGATCTTAGAAGCATAAAAGTTGTTTATACTTCCCAGGTAACTTCTCATGTTTAGATAGTAACCATCACCTGTCACCAGCCATGTGTGAAGTTATATATATGGTTCCAATTCTAATATTCAGATGATCAATTATATTTCCAGATTATTAGAAAATCCTCAATCTAACATGCTGTACGGCTGTCAATATTGACTTCTAACAGCCATATCTATTATTAAGTCTAACATGCAAAGCAATACGTACTGACTACTCCTATTCTCCAGAACTGTAAATGATATTAAATGCAAATCTTTAGCAGAATGTACTGATGACAGAAAGACTTACAGTGCATACTGCTTCTTCATCTTTAAAAGGTTTTTCTCTATCAGGCTTGTCCCCTTAAGTGCTGCCCCACCTCCCAGTTCTGGGGTGGCTACTTTCCCTTACAGGGTTCTCTGGAGCCACCCCTTTCTCTGCAATTCCAGCATGGGACTAAAGGGGGAGATGCTGACACTGCCTGGGTGTACACACAATGGCAGCCCAAAATTACTATATAAAAAAAATGGGAATGCCTGCCTGCTGCTTGTGGTCCCACTAAATGAACCAGGGCATAGTAATAGCTTGCCCCTGACAGGAAGTTCGGGGAAGCCACACACAGGAGATGGGGGGATGGGGGAGCATATTGAAAAGAAAGTAAGTGGTATTGAACAGTTTGGAAGCAAATCATTTATTGTGCTATATTAACCTAATGAATAGTGATGGGCTCCTTAAAAATGAGGCTTTAGTAATACTTGAAGAGTGATTAATTGATTATGGCCTCTAGCAGAAAAAAATACAATAAAGGAAGCAGAGATCAAACACCAAAACTGAATGCAAAATGGGTATGTTACATCTGAAACAACCAATTGGGGTGTGTTGTAGTACAAATTAAGTCTAACATTGTTTATTGTCATATCTTTGCTATTTCTATGTAAGCCTTTACAACAAAACATTTTCACTTATCTATACCACAAACAAAGTGGCTATTTTGTACACAACCACCCACTGCTCCCTTAGGGTGCCAAAGCAGTCAAGCAAATGATCTCAATCCAAAGCCTAAAAGTAAAGTTCTTCATTTTTCTACACTAAAACCGCTCCATGAAATATAATGCCCTTCACTGTAAACTGCATGGATGCTTAGTTAGGATTTCTCACCTTGCAACATTTTCAGAACCACATCAATAATGTGTTGATCTCCAGCATCTCTGCCCTGCAAAAAAAAAAAAACAATGCCAGGTAGGACGCTGTGTATTTGTCATAACTTTTTTGAGGTTAATGTCGAATTCACTTTTTAGAACACATATTACATTGTGCTAGTAATGACTGCTTGGCTGTTCAAAGTTTTTACAATTAATACTTAAAAAATCAATTACTTTATAACTCAAACTTATTCTGTAAACTATGTAATGAGTTCAGATAGTACATACTGGAACTCCTGGTCGTCCTGGCATTCCAGGGACTCCCCTCTCTCCACTAAGACCTCTTGGCCCAGGTAGTCCTGCTAGTCCTTGTACTCCAGCCTGGCCAGGATCTCCGGTTGGACCTGAGTAGCCCAGTTCTCCATGTACACCTTGCTATAAAGAGATGCAAGAAAAACTGAAGTGAAGACTTGTTAATATACAAAAAGATGTTTTATGTGTGTATTGATAATCTCACCTGGCCTTTAGGACCTGGCTCACCAGAATCCCCCTATAGAAAAGAAAACAATATATATTTCAGCATTTTCATAGGTACTTTTCTGTGCAACCTGTTTTAAAGCCCAACTTAAACCCAAGCTTTTTTAATTTGTTGTTCAAAAAAATTGGGAACAGTTTGAACCTTATTATTATTTTCTGCTTTTATTGCTATCTGTGTTCCTGTTAGAGAAATGTCCTCTTATTTTCTGCCCCAATGACAGTGTCACAGAGACCAAGAAGAGGTAAAAAATGTCTTCATTGGACACAGAGACAGCAAATTTTTTGGGGTAAATTGGAAAATAGGTCAAAAAGGTCCTAACCCTGTCACAGTTTCCTAAAAGAGGTATCTCTGTCCCCGTTGGATAGGTTTTCATTGTTATCTATATCTTCCTGTCCCGGGAACTCCCATTCCCTTAATTCTTTGTCCTGGTGTTACAGGGACAGGAAGCAAGAGGAAAACTATTTGGGTCCCAGACAGCAATAAAAAGGTAGAATAGAGATTGTTGTGGCCTACCCATGTATCAGATATAGTAGCCAGTAGAGTGAGAGGTGTCCCTCTCAAATATGAACCATATCAATGCCCCTGGTTTTAGAATGTGATATCTAACAAGCTGAAATAGGTGTGATGGTCAGGTATCCACAAACCTTTTTCCAAATAGTGTGAGCATTAAGCTCACCATACATGTTACAATCAGATTGTACAATCCCCTGTAGCTCTACCAACAACTATGTAGTGCAAGGTGCCTGATTGGATACAATTTGATTAAATAGGTCCTCATATTAGATATTATTGATAAATAAAAAGTAGATTATACAATCAGATTGCAATGTGTATGGTGACCCTTAGAATGTAGGTATATTTTTTTTTTTATTTGAGATGCCAGTATTTAAAAAGAAGGTTTATAGAAAGACTATGGGGGCAATTGAATAAAGTATTTGCTACACTTTTCTGTTGGTATTGTAGCATTAGAAAGTCAGGTGCCTAATTCATGAATGCCTTGCGACACTTCCGTTAAAGGTTTCAACATGCGTGACAGATTCAAGTTGTTCTTATTTGTGCCCTCTTCACAATGTGTTGCTATGGCAGTGACAAAAATAAAAATTAATACCACCAGTTTGTAGATAAGGAAACTGGAGGTATTTAAGACCAACTCTAAGGTGGCAAACAGAGACAAACCAGAGTCAGGCTGTGTATAGTGTACTGTGTATGTTTTGTGAGTCAACTACCACACCTTCCATCACCGGTTGCTAGTATGCAGGCCACCCACTGCTGTCCCCTGGCAAACAAAAGGTAGGTGGACCTGATGGTAAACTAGTGTATTAGCTTCCCCATCAGGCTTGCCAAACTAATAGTAAAACTCCTCAGCCACTGCACTTGCCTGTAGGACAGGTGCTGTAGCCAGACAGGGAGCTCAGGAATGCTGAACTGGTGATTTTATCAGGCTTGGCATTACTGAGCTGCCCTGAGGAAGGAGTGTCCGGAAGGGCCTACATGCGACAGATTCATTTGACCATTTCCAACAGGTACATGAATCAATTGCAAGCACCGACATTTGTAGTGGGGAGGTACAACAGGTTTTCTATGTGTCTATGACATGTTTTATTAATATCATTGCTAAACCTCTAACAAATAACTTCCACCTGCAGCAACAAAAAACTAGCAGAGGTATCCATTCCTTTGCTCTTGTGACTCAGCTGACCAGGGCAATTGCTATGTACTGCATTATAGCTTGTTTCTGCTTTCTGGTAGTAAACCTGCAATGTTTTTGGCAAAAAGTCTGCGATTCACATATTTGGCGCAAACCTATGGTGGCAACAAACCTGAACCTTATAACTAAGGATGATTTGCTCCACAGTTCCCACAAATGACAATAAAAACTGACAGGTTCAAGCCCTTCCCTACTCTATCCAAAAATCTAAGTACAAAAAAGGTGTATTTACTAGAGCATTCATTGTATTAAAGTGGCCCTAATCTGTAAATGTACCTATATTCCTACTCACTGCTTCCTAATCTAAAGAAAATGTAAACCCTGCAACCACTGTTCCACCCTGCTGAAAGAAGGCATCAACCCTCTAGTGCTAGGAAGGAGCCTGCTGAAAGAAAAAAATTTTTGGCTGTGCTAGTATTCATCTTTCTTAATGAACAGTAAGAAGTGGGGATCACCAAGCAGCGCTGATTACATACCATCTTCATGCCTAAAAAATGTGCATTAAGGGGGTATAAGAAGAGTGTGTGATATGAGGGTTTAACAATACAATCTTAGATATACTGTACTGTATTTTGGAGAATTTTCAGGGAAGTTTGCAATATCTCTTTACTTGTACACACAAGGGGATGGTTTTGTACACATATACTGTGGTTATGCAAAGTTTCAAAAGAAGATAACATTGCAGCTTTTGTTGTAGTAGCAGCAGCAGCAGAAAAAAAGACCAGTGCATATGTACAAAGCAATATCTTTGGAGGTTGGGCAGAGCCAGGACTCTGGACAGAGGCTGTTCTGGCTGGTTTATGATCCCACAAAAAAAGGGTTAGGATAGGGTCTATTTAGGAATATATACTGGCAAGTTTGATAGAAAATGAGGCAGAAATATCATTTTAATTATATATTAGGACCTTTAGGATATAGAGGAAATCTAGACCAGGTTTGAGGACAAGTCCTTATCGAAAATTGATACTTGGGTAAATTCATTTAGATACTTTAATTAGCAGGAGGCCCAAACCAGAGCCACAGCAGTTGGTTTAAGTGAGGAAGAAAATACATTTGCCCCACTTTAAATTGAAATCCTAGACTTGTGTTAGGATTAATATATTTGTTGAAAAAACAAATTACTAAATGCATTAACTTGATGAAATGACTATGATGACTATGGGTGTTTAGTGAATACATTTTATAAAGACTAGGATGGCAGATCAAATCTACTCACCTTTTCTCCTTGCTCTCCAGCCAAACCTTCAACTCCTGGGTCACCCTGAAGAGTAAACAATGAAGAGTCAGAAGGTGTGGTTAAGTAAAGTAAAAAAATAATAATCTAGTAAGTTAATAAAGGCATAAACCACTTACCACGTCACCCTTTCCTCCAACTTTTCCCAGGAAACCCTGTTAAGACAAGATGTATACATGAGTATGTTTAGTAGAGCAGCCTGTAGTGTACGTGGGCAGTAAAGGATGAAAACTTTAAACCACAACTTAATTTTCAGCATTTAGTATATGTTAACAGCTTTTTAAAAAGTGATACTCTTTTCAATTTAAACTCATGTACTAGTATTTTATCAATACATTGATTCAAAATACAGGTGACCACAGAGGATACAGCAGTGAACTAGCTTACCAGAACAAAGCTTGAACCTCATGGACAGATGCATCCAATATTTTTATTCCTGCTTTCCTAAACATTTCACATACACTGAAAAATAGCAACTCCCTTGTATTACCCATGCCAGGTGCTCTAGCCACAGAATCCATTTTCTGCTCAACCTACTGAGAGATCTTTGACTGAGCAATCTTTTCAGATACAGTACAATGATATTTGTATTTGTACCATTATATTTGTTAGGGCACATTTTGGTCTACTGAGAAATAAAACAAAAGTTGTACTGGGGTCCAGTTGTATTGTTTGCATTAGCTGATAAATAAAGCAGATACAATAAAGGGAATGTAAATTCTTCTCAATGTGTTTATACTCCTACTCGCAATAAAAGTCTGAGTCATACGACTCAATGAAAACAATGCATTACTTATGTGGCTTTCAAGGGAGAGATAGAGTAATTGCATTCAGCCACTTAGAGCTCTTTCTAGTTATGAATCTAATAATCCTCTATATTTATTTTATTACAAGAACAAAAATATAGAAGAGCATGCTTTAAAAGAAAAAATAAAAGTCATATAAAGATTTTTTATTAAGGTAAGCACTGCAATAATAGCATGAGGTTATCTAAACTCAAGAACAAAAATATATAAATAATAATATATTTCAGATTTCCAGTACCAAGATGTGGCAGTTGCATTAGGTTCCTTTTTCATGCTTTTTTCTCATAACTTTTTACCTGGTGATTCTACCAGTAACACACTTCCTTTTTAATGGTGACCTCACTCACTCAACATTCTATATCTATGGAGGAGCGCCGTTGTCACCGTGGGACAGGACCACAGACACGGGCGTAACTAGAAATCACAGGGCCCCATAGCAAAATGTTGTATGGGGCCCTGTGATTTCTAGTTACGCCCACCTGATAACCCAAACAGCCCACCTAAGGGTGACCCTGCAGAGCCTACCATAGACTCTCTATGGTAGGCTCTGCAGGGTCTCAGGCGGGCGGTCAAGCCCTCTTACCTGTCAGCCCTGATCCTCTGTCCGCCTCCTTCTCCTCCACAATTGACTCCTCTGTCACTGGGCCCCGCCTCCTCGATTGCCGGGCCCCGCCCCCTCGATCGCCGTATCCCGCCCCCTTGTTCGCCGGGATACGCCCCTTGATCGCCGGGGACACGCCCCCTCGATCGCCGGGCCCCGCCTCCTCGATCACTGCCGATGACGGGCCCAGCCACCTCCTGCGAAGCTGCTGGTTGTCACCAACTCAGCAGCGGCTGTGAGAAGGAACGGAGCGTTCCTCCTCACAGCCCCCAGTGGCAGCCAGCAGCCTGGCTGTCCGAGCAAGATGCCATAGCGACCCAGGCGGCCCGCATGGCATCAGGGAGATGTCCTGGCCGGGCCCCGCCGTGCCTCGGGCCCCATAGCGCCGCCTGGGTCGCTATGGTGATTGTTATGCCACTGACCACAGAGAACCTTGCCATCTTCTCTTCTACATAACAAAGGTTGAGGTGTTTTGTACTCCACAGAAAAAGCTGAGAACAATGCTAACTGATGAAAGTTCAGCACAAGCTGAGAGCACAGGAAATTATTAGCTTATAAGATTTCTGGCAGGATTAACTAGTCCTTTTTATTTTTGCACTTATCTAACATATATAACAAAACGCTTTCAATAGTATATTTAACAGACTAAAAGAAGTCCATTATTAGGGTTTACATTTACTTAAACATACATGCTCCCTGAAAATACACACTACTTTCCCTTTAAATAAAACATAGACTACATAGCAATAGAATAAAAGATGATTCTAAATAATACCAAATTACCATGGCGTTACCTTGTCTCCTTTTACTCCAGGAATACCCTGTGGTCCTGGTATTCCAGGAGGTCCTTGCTCACCCTTTACTCCCTGTACAAAAGAAAAATAGTCTTCATTTGTAATCAATTAAGTCATCATACTGGTTTATTTTATTTTTTTTATTGCAAAAGAGGCATAGTGAGTCAAACAAAAACAAAAAAAATGATTACAGTACAGAAGCGAAACTACAGTTAAACCATACATTATGTATAGTATAAAGCTTGTGCCATTGAGCAAAGAATATGGTCAAATAACATTGAGAAAAAAACACTTTATGGCTTGCTTTTGTAGTATCTTAAAAGAGTCTGTTAGGCTACAAAAAAGTATAAGTTCAACCCTGCAAGTACTTCATTTTTATGAATTAGGCAGAGGGAGGAGGTGTGGAGGGAGAAGAAAATAAAGTGAGGTGGGGGGGCAAGAAAAAGGGGGAGGGGGAAGAGAGTTTCCACAGTGGCAGACCCAACAGCCCAGGTAAGTGCAGAAAGGAGGGGAGAAAATGTCCAACACAGAGCATCAACATGAATTAGGTGGTAGGGTGAGATACAGAAGATTGGTATTCCAGGGTATATTGGAAATCTAGCTAGTAAGACCAGGTTTATCAGAATTTCTTGTCTCTATTGTATAATGAAGAAGTGAGATCTTCCATTTGCATAGTTTTGCTGATTCTGAACAACAACTGCTCTACCACCATTGAGGATATCTGTTTGTATATCAATTGGAATGTATGCTCTTGCTGCATTTAGCAAATTAATCAAAAGAGATTTCTTGTAGTGTGAGTTAACATGAAAAAGGTAGGCCAATGGACCATCTCCTAAATCTGTGTCTGTGAGTTTGTGACAAATATGTTGTAAAGCTTTCCAGAAGCCCCGAAGGGGACATTTGTTTTGATTTGGCCGCAACCTATGGGAAGAGTTTGACAGGTGCCGCACAAATGTACCTGAACCTGAGGGAGCCGAAGCCGGCCGATGTACGGCTGATTTTAGTCGATGTATGGCTAAATTCAGCCGTACAGGGCTGAAATGAATAGCCAGACGGCGTTCGGCTCACTTCACTTTGGCTCGGTTATTCACTCAGCTGCCTTGAGCAGCTGAGTGAATAACCCCCTAGATATTCATTCAAACAAGGACTGCAGATAAATGGGATATACTAGATCAAATGACACCTAAAAAAACATGGCGTGTTCATTCTCATAATCTACATTTACATAAATGCAGATTTGTCACATGGAAAAAGTAAGTACATTACGTAACTACATTTACCACCACTTTAAATCCATGAAATTAGATTCAGGTGTTCCAGATGGCAATAATATGAAACCTCCTTTGGGAGTATGCAGGTGAAATCTGTCTTACTTAGAACATCAGACCCATGACATCTGGGGTTTATTTGCTACTGCATATGTGGTGTCATCATTCCAAGATCAAAATATCTCTCAAAAGGTGCCCATACACTGCACGATTCTCGTACGAGAATCGAGGGAAATCCCACGATCGTACGCGAATCGGGCAGTGTGAATGAAGGCGTGCGACCGTTTCTACTGTACGGTCGCACGTCTTTTGTCTAAGGAGCATGCTAGAAAACCTGCCCGTTCGGCATTGCGGTCATCGGAAGCCCGCCCCTCAGGGGGGCGGGCTTCTGATGATCGCAAGTATGATCTGCATGTCCAAGATGGGCAGATCGTATGTTTTTTTAATTACTTTACAACCATCGCAAGACTGAGGTCTTGCGATGGTTGTAAAGTGTATGGCCACATAAAGGCACTCAGAAAAAAAGTTGTGGATGCCTATAAATCTTAGAAGTGATTTAAAAAGATCACCACTTTATTTAAATCAATCATTCCACTGCAAAGAACATATACTACAAGTGATATTTCAAATGACTACTTTTCTCTAGGGCTGGCCGACTCAGCAAATTCAACCCAAGAGCTTAATGTTTAATGTTAAAAGAGATCTCCAAGATCCCCAACTTTTAATCATAAGATCTACAGATAATTATTGCAACAGTCACTGTTTAAGTGCATGCATCTACAATCAGAAAGAAATTGCACCAGTTTAACCTACATGGGAGGTGTTCTGGGAAAAAGCATTTGCTGTTCTAAAAAAATATAAGAGCATGACTACAGTGGCAATTGGACATATGAGCAATGATCAGGCCTTCTGGAACAATGTGCTGTGGACTGATTAATTAAAGACAGAGTTGTTTGGCCACTATAACAGCAGACATATTTGTCATCATCTGAAAACCGCATTTAAGAAGAAGAATGTACAGTCTGCGTACTGAGTTATTGTCTCTGCTGCATACCAATGCTTGCTCGTTGTGTAATGTTTTATTTTTGATTATTCTCAATCAAAATTTGACATGCTAAAAAAAAAAAAGACGAAGAATGTAATGCCAACTGTGAAGCATGGGGGTAGAAATGTTATGGTTTGGAGTTGCTTTGCTGCTTCAAGACCTGGGCAGCTTGCAGTCATCATGTCATCCACGAATTCTGCATCATATCAAAGTGTGGTTTACAAGAATGCTCCCTGCAGCAAAGATGACCACCTCAGGCAGCAGTAGCACTGCCTGTGTGTGCACCTGGGCAGTCAGCTGGTAAAAGTGCAGGCTCGGCATCATTGAGTCTCTGTCTGGCCACTTCACTTGTCACATAAGTAGGAGCAATGGACAGCAGCACTGTGCTCAGTGATGCTGAGCATGCCCTATTAACATGCTGCACATAGCTAAAGAGGTCTGGCCACTGTGCCTGCCTATGTGACAGGTGGAGTGGCCAGGCGGAGTGCTCAGGAACACTGAGCCTGTTTATTTTTCAGGCTTAGCATCAGCATTACTGAGCTGCACCGAGGATAGAGTGTCTGATATGGACACTGTTAAGTCTACATGACAGGAAGTGAAGGAAAATCTCCATAATGAGAAACATAAGGCAATGCAATGTGTGTGTCTTTCTGATCTAAAAAAGAGACTTTGTAGAGGGTAGAGTACCAGAGTCACTATTCATATACTGAGCTTACAGGATTCTCAGAAGAATTTTGAAAAAAGGCATCTGCAGGCACATATCCTCAACTTTATGACAGGTTTACTTTTTGACAGGGACTAAAGAAAACTAAAAGCAGCAGCAAGCTCTTTCAAAACCTGGTTATTCAGTACAGAAGTATCACCATTTATGCCATTGTTATTATTCACAAACTACAAGGAAAAACCAGTGAGATACAGAACATGTAGCAGAGCTTGGGTGAGCACATTTGATAAGCAAACATAAAATTTCCCTTTCATTCCAAGTCCTGACAAAGTGTTGGCAGGCATGAAGCAGCTGTCAGCTTCCCACACCTTCCTTGTCTTTCACTCTTCATATTTGCAAGGCCTTATTTTTTTTTAATATAAACTATGCTTTATGGTGAATTTGGTACCTATTATTTAAAAAAAAAAATTGAAATAAGAGTGAAGTTTTTGTATTTTTTACCAATTGTGCTCAGAACAAACTTTCTGTTTTATGATGTATAAAGAACCAAAATAATCATGAAGAATGGAAAAAAGAATTTATCAAAGAGAGGCAGAAAACCCCAAAACTCAGGGATTGGCTAAAATACTTAAAGTGTATTTCCGCTTTTGCAAACAAATTGGGATAACACTTATTTTATATTTATTACATGTTCCCATTCACATAGCATAACTGAAAAAATACTAAAATTGCTTTTACTTGGGTTAGGGTGTCTTGATTCCGTAAGGGTTAACATTTGGGATGAGGGCTTTGTGTTAACCCTATCTGTACTGTACAAAAATAAAAAAACAATAGCGCCAGAGATGACCACTCCACTGAAGAGATATACATGCAGAAGTTCTGCAGGTCGCTGCCCCACATCAGACAGGGAGGCTGTGATATCTAAGGTTCTGAGGAAGTGGACGTGGCCCCCAGGAATGGTTCAACCTAGGCATACTGTGCTGGCACACAGGAACTACCATCTGTGCAGCTCTCATATGCTGTGTTTTGCTTTTTGCTAAAATGAGGATCAATCTTTGATTTTGAAGGCTCGTTGTCATCTACTCTTTTGTGAGTATTATTCTACTTTTGCCATTTGTCTAATAAAAATGTATCTACACTAGGGAAGGTGCCCCTTGTTTTTGTTTTTTCCTGTCTGTACTGTGCTAGGTGATTTCATTATAACTTATAAAGCATATTTGAAGACAGCAAGTTATAACAAAGGGTTAAAGGATTGGAACTCTGGCTTCTGAATTCAAATGTAAATTAAGTTAATGAGAGAATGACAATCCTCAAATTGCATTCCTAAGTCTTTCTATAAGGACAAATCACTGTGAAGGTGCTGTGAAAAACCTTGATACAGCCATCTTGCCTGCTGCAACAAAACATCTAACAGGTAAGAAATATCTTCTTAAAATGTGTTTTCCTTCTCTACGCTATCCAGAACTAGAAAACATGTTTTTGCTTGACATGCACTGAATTCTAGTTTTAATACTAATATGTAATATTATTATGTTTAAAAAAATCCTTTTTCTGGATATTTATTTATATTTATGGATATGTACTGTATTTTGGCAAAATACCAAAATCTCTCTTGATATCAGTCTTTAACAATCTTCTGTAAAGCAGATATAGACTTGAAGGGAGAGGGTCAGCATTAGGAGCCAAACAGTATCTGCTGCAATGGTCATGTCCTGGTAAGGAACATACTGACAGCAGGATTTGTATTTGTCCAACTGCATGAAAGTTGGAGAGGTCTTAGGTAGTGCAGGTAGCTGTATTGTCTACAGGGGTGCAAGATCACATAACTGTCTGTACATAATTGTAAACCTTTCAGCAGATTAGCTATTTGCCCACATTTCAGCTTTGTTGTATTATTCTATAGGGTTATATCTGATCGCAAACATCTGTATTTAATACAGCAATGTCTGAAAACTGAAGCAGCTCTCTTACTAAGGAACACAAAGCATATCCATTCTCCTGCTTTTCTCTTATATAAAAACACTGAAAATGTACTGGGAATATAAAGTATGAGATTTTGGTTACTTTTATTTAAGAAGTCAAGCAAGACTCAAAAAGCAAATTTGTCTATAATCTACTATAAATGAACACTGCATAGCAAAATAGGCTTTTTTTCTGGCCACTATATTATGGGTTGCTATAGTATTTTTTTTTTTTTTGAGGCAATAACTAAATTAAACATAGATCCAGTCATTAAATCTGTGAAGTTGTTAGTTTTTATTCAGGTCATGGTATAGCTGGCAGTAGTTTGTCACATTAAATTGCACATGTTCTGTAATGTTGAAGATGTTTAGCAGCTTATCCAAGCTGTTCCTTCAGCTCTTATTAGGATCAGGAACATACCCCACCATTTATAGCCACACAGCTATCACAGTCACCTTAATCCAATCACCGTTGAATGTGTCAAGGCAGATGTTGTTTGCCTGTGTTAACAATTCTACCCCAGCGATATGTCAACAATTTGCACCCTCAGCTATGTAGATCGAAGAATTAACACCTTTGGCAACGTTCCTTGCACCAAGGGATGGGGTTATATAACTAGAACAGAGTGTTTCCACGTACTTTCACACCTCCTATCCTGTTCTTGGACAATCAACATCTGTCTCGATACATTCTTTGTGAATGTGACTAACTACTACTAGCCCGATCCAGTAAATAGGCAATCTAAATGACCATTTCAATATTCTTAGATTTTGCATGGCTGGTTAACATATATGTAGGGATATACC